TAATGATTGAACAAGTTGGAAGCAAACGAGGTAAAGAAAACATTACTGGACAAAAGAAATTGCTTGGTGACGCCTTCAAGGGAATTAATCTTGATCGAATGCGTGATAACGGCGTTCTAACCGACATATCCAATGGTTAGCTATTCAACTATATAAGGGTTAATTGCGTCTTTATTAATATATATTATATGGTACGCATGTATGAAATTTTATTGAATGGTCTTAATAAATATTTACATCTTCTTCATATTATAAGAAGTAGAATATTTTTGAACTACAAGTATAAATATCTAATTATACTTAAGTTTATATAATGCATTTAATACATATATTCATATATGTGTATATATACAATATATATATATATATATATATATATATTTCCACATAATTAATATCTACAGTTTTAATGTGTATACCACAGTATATGGAAGTCCGCACTCATCTTTCGAACATGTTGCAAAAGAAAAGGATAAAGGTATTATTCCTAAACAAACAAAATTTCTAGATGATCCTTCAAATCGAGTGAACATGGATCAAACCCAATCGAGTTATACTACAACTAATCGTTCAATTGGTTAGTATTTAATTTAACTTTAAATACGAATATCACAAACTGCTCGATCTTATAGTATTTTTTTACCGTCATTATTTCGTATAGGTCATAACTAACTAAATTTTGTTCTCCCAATATCCTTCCACAGATGCTGTCAATAGTGTACGAAAAAAATCATTTCCAACATATACAGAAAAATTGACTAAGAAAAAGAAAGGTATTATATCAAGTATTTTTTTTAGCAATAAAAAACAAGTGGCATTAATTAAATGGGGAGTAATTGTGGTGTCGATGCTATGTTAGACGTTAATACTGTTATCTTTGTACAATTATTGCTAAATAATTATAAATAAATGAATTTTATAATAAAGAAGTTATGTTGTTATTACAACAGATGACATTGAGTACTGTCGCAATGGTGTATCTACATCGTGTGAAGATCATTTACAAGTTACAAAATCTTATTATGAATCAAATAAAAGGTGCGATCTTATTTTCTAGGACTAATTTTATGTCTTATTAAACGATTAAGTGTGCAATACATGTAGACATTAATCCAGTTTTTTCTTTCATTTCTATAGAAGCTGAATGTTTACTATTATGTTAGTTGTACCGTGCGGAATGGAAAGAAGATGACTAGGAGTCATAAAACAATTGACTCTGTAACACGTATGTTGGATATGACATCAGTACCCGCTATGTTGGTAGATGAGGATTTACAGACGTTAAGCGACAATTCTTCCGACAGCGGAGGTAATTATCTTTGTCATCATCTCATAACGTATCTCATTGCTATGCGTTATTTGTCAGTATATTTTTCTATTGTAATGATAATTTTTTGTTCATAAATGTAGATTCAGAATATGTTTCCAACGATGAGAATAGTGACGATGCAGTTGACGATACTGGTAAATATCATTTTAATCTAACAACTTTTAATCTTAACATTACTAATTATATAAATTCATTACATTATTTTTAAATGAATAATATTATTTAATTAATTTTGGATAGATTATGAAGATCTTGGAGACCAGACGTATGAATGTCCTTTTTGTGGTTCAATGATGTGGTACGGTGAAAGAATTGACAAGCATAGACAAACATCCAGGCCCAAATTTGGCTTATGTTGTATGTCCGGGAAAGTCCAGCTCCCAAAAATAAGAGATGCACTTCCTACACTTAACAATTTAGTGTTTGGCACTGATCGGAGGAGCAAACATTTCCAAGAGAACGTACGATCTTATAATATGATGTTTTCTTTCACGTCGTTTGGTGGAAAAGTGCAGACATCTATTAATAATGGATCTGGTCCATACACATTTCTGTTACACGGACAAAATTACCATCTACTGGGCAGTTTATTGCCGGAAGAAGGCACTAGGCCTAAGTTTGCCCAAATTTACATTTTCGACACAGAAAATGAGATTCAGAATCGAATTGATGCCGTCAGGTAAATTTTTCGGAATTATATTCCTGTTCTAAGGAGTATAGAGCTTACAAATTATAATTACATTATTTTTTATTTGACAGGTCCGGAAATCAATCTAACAATCTTGACCCAGCCATCGTTGCATCGTTGAAAGATATGATTGACGGTAACAATGTACTTGCACAGCATTACCGTGCTGTTCGAGATCGTTTTTCCAATGATGGCCATCAAGGAGTAAAACTCATATTGGTAAAGAGTCGCAGTACTGATGGCAGACGTACAATCTTCGTAATGCAAGTGAAATAGCAGGCTTGATCGTTGGTGACTTTGACACACAAGAGGGTGTTAGGGATATTGTAGTTGAGACGCGCTCAAATAAGCTTCAACGAATCAGTGAGCTCCATCCTCTTTACTTGCCTCTACAATATCCTCTTTTATTTCCTTACGGTGAAGATGGTTATCGAGATGATATCAATTTGAGAGAATCTTCATTTGCTGATAATAGAAAACGAAGGAAGGTAAGCATGCGAGAATTCTTTGCATACCTAATTCAGAAACGGCATGGAGAACATTCGTTACTTTTGCATTCCAAGAAGTTATTTCAATAGTTCTGTGTTGATGGATTTTCGATGGTTGAGTCACAGAGGTTGAATTTCATAAGGTTCCATCAGGATCAACTTAGGGTTGACATGTACAAGGGTATCGAACAAAATATTTTTAAATGAGACACTGAGGGTAAATCGGTTGGACAGCGCATTATAATTCCAGGGTCGTTCACCGCAGGTCCAAGGTATATGTTTAACAACTTCGTTGATGCTCTTCAAATATGTAACTGGATTGGATTTCCAACCCTCTTCATCACCATCACATGCAATCCCCAATGGCCAGAAATACAAAGGGTGTTAAAAGATACAAATCTCAGGCCGGAGAATCGGCCAGACATTCTGTGTCGTGCGTTCAAAATGAAGCTCGATAGTATGATGACGGAAATCAAGAAGGGTCGTATATTCGGACGTATTACATCATGTGAGTATTTAATTAGATATGCATTTATAATTAAACATTTAATACGTTTATATAAATTAGATAATTTAGTCATGTGCGAGTTTTACTACTTTTTGCTTCATTAACTAAATTAATTCATATTTTTTAATACCGTATGTTTACATTTTTTGTGCAGATGTATGCACAATAGAATTTCAGAAACGAGGTCTACCGCATGCACATATTTTATTGTGGTTGCATAATGACGACAAGCCCAAGAATCCAGAAGAAATTGACAGGATCATATGTGCTGAAATTCCTGACGAAGAAAACGACAGAAAGATGTACCAGTTGGTGGAGAAGTATATGATACATGGACCGTGCGGTCAGGCGAATTTGAAATATCCATGTATGAAAGATAGAGTTTGCACGAAGCGATTTCCAAAGCCATTTGTGCAGCGCACTGAATCAGATGCAGATGGGTTTACAGTGTATAGGAGAAGGGAAGATGGCAGAACAGTTACGAAGAAGAAGACTACTCTTGATAATGGGTTTGTGGTCCCCTACAATCGTATATTGTTGAGTAAATACCGAGCTCACATTAATATCGAGCTATGCAACCAAAACAAGTCAATTAAATACCTGTTCAAATACGTAAACAAGGGGCATGACCGAGTCACAATGGCATTTTATGAGACACGCAATACAGATGGCGGTGCTGAGATTCGTGATGAGATAAAGATGTACTACGACTGCAGATATTTTTCGGCGTGTGAGGCAATGTGGAGGTTGTTTAACTTTGATATTCATTACAGAGACCCGTCCGTAATTAGGCTAAGCTTTCATCTCCCCGATCATCAGCCAATTGTCTTCAATGAAAACCAGTCGTTACAAAGTGTGTTGGATAGGCCATCTGCCAAGCAAACTATGTTCCTGGCGTGGTTTGAGGCCAACAAGAACCATCCACATGCAAGGGACTTGAGGTACGGAGATTTTCCACAACAATTTGTGTATAAAGAGGATTCTCGAACTTGGGTGCCAAGGAAAAAATGATTTTCTATCGGTAGGATTGCGAATGTTCCCCCTGGAAAGGGGGAAGACTATTACCTTAGGTTGCTACTTAACATTCAAAGGGGGTGCACGTGCTACGAGGACATCAGAAAAGTTTTTGACATCGTCTACCCTACGTTCAGGGATGCATGTTATGTGTTGGGTTTGCTAGATGACGACAAAGAATACATAGATGCAATAAAAGAAGTGAATACTTGGGTATCGGGGGATTATATAAGAAGGTTATTTGCGGTTATGCTGCTTTCCAATAACTTAAGTCGGCCCGAACATGTTTGGCAAAGTTGTTGGTTGAATTTGGCTGATGGTATTGCTTACAAACAACAACGTCGTCATAAAAATTCAGGTATGGCAATTTGTATGGCATTGTATTCAATTAGATTTTACGTATTAATCATTCTTTTAATATTGTCTCTGTACGATTTCAACTAGATGCACATAATTTATCCATTTTTTTATTGTTGAAGATTTACATATATCGGATGAAAGCTTGAAGAACTATACTCTCACCGAAATAGAAAAATATTGCAAAACAGTGGTAAAAGCCTGCAAAATTACGCGCCTATGCCAGTTCCAATCGAATACTCATATGAGGACACAGAAAACATATTGGTGTTAGATGAACTGGATTACGACCGGTTTGAAATGGGTAGAGAACTTCAACAGTGTCTTGCTTCCATTACAGATGAGCAAAGAAAGGTTTATGATGTAGTCATGGATGCAGTAACCAATGACAGTGGTGGAATGTTCTTTCTATATGACCATGGTGAACGGGAAAGACGTTTCTATGGAAAACTCTTTCGGCTGCAGTTCGTTCGAAGGGAGAGATTGTAATTAACGTTGCATCGAGTGGTATAGCATCGTTATTGCTCCTCGGTGGAAGAACAGCTCATTCTCGATTCGGAGTACCCATAAATGTACATGAGAGTTCCACCTGCAGCATATCGCAACAAAGTCCACAGGCAGAGTTGCTCATAAGGGCAAAGCTTATTATATGGGACGAGGCTCCTATGATGCATAGATACTGTTTTGAAGCCCTTGACAAGACAATGAAGTCAATATTACAGGCTGAGAAACCCTTTGGTGGTAAGGTGGTTGTTCTTGGAGGTGATTTTAGGCAGATTTTACCTGTTGTGCTCAAAGCATCAAGGCAGGACATAGTACATGCTACGATAAACTCCTCTCCGCTGTGGAATTTCTGTCGTGTCATGAAGTTGACTAAGAACATGAGATTGCAGTCATGTTCTTCTCCATCTAATGTGGATGAGATAAAAGAATTTGAAGACTGGATACTGAATGTTGGTAATGAGGATGTTGGGGAAGACAATGATGGTGAAGCTTCGATAGAGATTCCAGATGACATGTTGATTGGTGATTCAGAAGATCCATTCAGAGACCTACTCGAATTCCTTTACCCGGATTTGTTGAGTAACATGTACGATCGAGATTATTTTCAAGGGAGGGCAATTCTTGCACCAACTAATGAATGCGTCGAGTCTGTGAACGATCACTTAATGTCTCTCCTTCCAGGAGAGGAGAAGGTGTACCTGAGCTCAGATAGTATGTGTAGGGACGAGCACACAACGGAGGATAATGCAGAAATTTATTCGACTGAATTCCTCAACACAATAAGATGCTCCGGAGTTCCTTCTCATGCGTTGAGGATCAAGGTTGGTGCACCCGTTATGCTAATAAGAAACATCGATCAAGTTAGAGGATTGTGCAACGGTACCAGACTTCAAATTATTAGAACTGGCATTAACGTTCTGAGTTGCAAAATTCTTTCCGGAAAAAATATCGGTGACATGGTGTTCATTCCTCGGATGACTTTAATACCATCTAACTCCGGACTGCCAATTAAATTTCAGAGAAGACAATTTCCGTTGATTGTTTCTTTTGCAATGACGATAAATAAAAGCCAAGGCCAAACTCTTTCGCATGTTGGTTTGTATCTTCCTAGGCCTGTCTTCAGCCATGGTCAACTATATGTTGCAGTGTCCAGAGTTAAGAGCAGAGGTGGCATTAAGATATTCATCAAGTCGGATTCGGGTGAACTCACCAATGTTAATAGAAATGTCGTGTACAAGGAAGTATTTCATCGAATTTGAAGGTAGAAAATATTTTCATATTTATCATTTATTCATGTAACATTTAAAGAACTTATTCTTTTGCAGGTGTTTCTTATCTATATATTTTCCCCGGTGCGATGTTATTTTCAGTCATTTCCCTATGGTGCTCGGTGCAGTTCTTATTATCTTTAAGATTTATTTTTGACGATATACTAATATTTTAATAGTATTCTTATATTATAACTATGAAGAACATGACACTTATAACATATTTTTATTATCGTTAGTCGATTACGTTATGTACTTAGATTCAGTGACCGTAATAATTGTTATCTGCTTAAATTTATTTTTGAGACATGTATTTTTAGTCAAAAATATGTCGCCCCGTGCATCGCACGGGTGAATACTAGTATAGAGTTATGGGGAGTTATGGGGTGACATGACTCACCCAATATTTCTTAAATCAGCCATAACTCTTTGTTGTCTCCACCACTCCCTGAAACCAATAGTCTGTTAGAACTCTATCGTAATAACTAATCCAATGCATTATCCCATTAGAGTTTATAACTACGTTTCAAGGGGGTGAGTGTAATTATCGATACCACAGGGATTTGAAAGTTGTTTAAGCATACCTCAGGGGTGTGAGTGTAATTTACCCTATTATTTATTTAATATATTATAATTATTATTTGTGATGAGTGATGAAGATTAGTGGGGTGGCACAAACAATTGCATAATAGCATATATAAATTCCCGATGAAGGGGGAAAGTGCAAAGAGAGAGAGAGAGAGAGAGAGAGAGAGAGAGAGAGAGAGAGAGAGTGCAGAAAGGGAGCATGTGGGTATAGTTTGTGTACAAAGTAAGAGCGCGTGCAAACATTTCACATGGCCGGTGCATACATTTAATATCACACACACACACACCATACTTTTCTACTACCCTCACTTTTCACAGCTCATTCACAGAAATACCCCCACCCCCACCCAACTATTATTAATTACCAATTTATTTTTTATTCGGTTTTAATTTTATATATATATATTACCCCAATCATTGAGAGTTGAGAGTACGCGTCTATGTACATGTTTTGTACTAGTAATTTTAGATGTTCTTTCCAAAATCCAAATATATTAAAATTATGAGATGTAGTTCTGACAAGATGTAATGTGATTATGCCAAAGTTGTGAGTAATACGGTAGCATGTCTGGTGGTGTTTTACAAGTTTATTAGTAAAATGTTCAAATACAATTTTCACCCCTGAACTATAACCACTGTCGTATTTACTCTTCACAACTACGAAATGTGACAAAATGGTCCCACATATTACCAGTCAATGATTAGTATTTTGACACAGTTAGTTTGTACAGTTATGCCTATGGTGGGTGGCGGCGTCGGAGAACTACATATCAGCAAATGGCAACAACAACTCATGGCTCATGACGGTTGAGAGAGGCATCGGTTGACGTGGTTATAGAACGGATGGTTATGGTGGTAGATGGCCATTGGAGATGGTGGTGTGAGGTCAGATCTACGGGGGAGGTGGTTGCATCAAGCTAGGGCTCTTTGATGGTGCTATGGTTTTGGTAGGCGGTTAGGGTTTGGTGGATAGAAGTTGGCGGCTAGGGTTTGGCGACGACTGTGAGTTATTTTGCTACTAGGGTTCGGACAATACACCGTAGTAAACTGTAGTACACCGTAGTATGCTATAGTACACCGTAGTATATTATAGTCTACTACAATATTAACATCAGATAAAATCAAATTTTCTTTAAAAAAATATATAAATTGAATTTAGAAAAATGAAAAATATTTTTTTTCGTATTCTTCAATATTATGAAGAGACAAAACATATTTTTTTAATAGTGCAAAAAATGCTAAAATGAAGAAATAGAAAGAAAAATAAAAGGACAAGTGTGTTTTGTATAAAAAAATTAAAAACTATTGGTTGGAAAAAGGAAAATATTAAATTTTGACTAAAAAAACGATAAATGCAATTTGAATTTTACTTAATGCAGATTTCGAATTTGTGAATGAAAGGGCATTTTTGAAATGAATTTTACGAATGACGTGTAACAAAAGTTTAGTTGAACTTGTCATGTATTTTCAACCAGTCTTGTTACTAGGGACCCGTATTTTAAGCCCCCTAATATACTATGGAATTTTTCGCTGAAAAAATTTAGTTTTGGGGAAAAAGAAAAAAATATAATATGACGATGAAATAAATGATCTTAAATTTCCAGATCAAATTTAAAAAAAAAATCATTTTTTTATTAATTTTTTATTTTATTGAAATTTCTAATAAAATACTTTTATTTTTCTTAAATTATTTTGCCATTTTTTTTTGAAATAATAGATCTTATTTCATTTACTTAGTTTTTTTGCTTATATTCTAACAGAACGGTAAAATTATCACATAAAGATCAATTAAAATTTGTTCAAAGTGCCACATCATCTATGTTAGACGGATAGATTAACAAATGCTAATAACAGAGGTCATTTTGTCGCATTTCATAGTACATGGGGTAAATGCGACAGTAATCATAGTACATAACATGGTACAAATTGTATTTAACCCTAGTAAATAACGGAGTTTCTATGAGAAGGTCCTAACAACTGATCTTTATTAATTTAGATTCAGCTATTTAGTCTATTTGGTCAATAAATTCACATCTTCAACATGTTACAAACAAAGAAGTACATAGTATTTATGACCAAAAAATATCTTAATAAACCCGATTCTTAATTATAAATTCAATTGTGACCCTCAAAATCCAATTTTGACTTTATATTTTTCTTCCTGAAAATTATTTTTTCGCGATAGAGACCGACGGCTGACCTATGATTAACACGGGTCTTCCTTAAAATTCTTTCGAATTTTTTTTCTTGCGATGGACACCGACGGCTGACCTACGGTCAACACGGGTTTTCCCCGTTTGCCGCTGACCGGTTACAGTAATATTACTGTCGTCGTCAGTAAAATTACTGTAAACACAATAATATTACTCCCAACCACTTCAATACTATTGTTTTTTGGTTTTTTTATTTTGTTTGACTTGTTGACCGATCAACGTAATAAAATTACAGTCTACTATTGCATTATTACTATGGTTGACAGTAAAATTACTCTAAACATAATAATATTACTGTCAACCACATCAACATTATTATTTTTTTTTGTTTTTTTTATTTGATTTATTGATCAATCAACGTAATAATATTATTGTATACTATTGTAATATTACTGTGGTTGACAGTAAAATTATTATAAGCCCAATAATAGTATTGTGGTTGACAATAATATTACTAATATTACTGTCAACCACAACAATATTAATTTTTTTTGGATTTTAATTATGTTTGCCTTTGTTGACCAGTCAACATAATAATATTAATGTATTACACAAGAATTTGTTATGTAATATAGTGATTTTATTGTGTTAATATCACCGTGGTAGATACTAATATAGCAATATGACCGTGTTAAACAGCAATATAGTTAATGTTACTGTCAACCAGAGTAATATTACTGTTTTCTACGACCGCCAAAAATTGTTCGGGAAAAAAAACAGAAGCCAACGCCGTCGAAGAACGGTGTTAATCGTCGGTCAGCAGCGGCGACAGCAATAGAAAGAAAAAGAAGGTCAACGCCAGACACCCAAGTCAACAATGGCTGACAGGCGTCGACTGTCAAAATTAGGTTAGGGGTTAAAATTGAATAATTGTTGAAATTTGGGGTCAAATTGGATTTAAGTGATGAAATTGGAGCATATTGAAATGTGAGGGGTATTTTAGTTTTCTACACACCTGTATACTTTGTCTGGACTTTTTTGTAAAGAATTTTTTGTCTAATTCTATTTATGGATAAATAGCCGATGATGAGCTCATTTGTAATGGCCCATTAAATAAATCTATGATTCAGATGTTAAAAATATTTAATTTTACTATTGAAGGTGAAAACACTGTCAAATTAAGCTCACCCCCACTCCTTTCTCTCATACCACCCCACCTCGTTACCCCTACCAACCCTCATCGATCCAATCGCCACTGTCGTTGTCGGTTGACTCTAGTCAACCGGCCGATCAACAATTTGGAAAACAATTAGGGTCCATTTGGATGGAAGGATGTGATTTGGGAAGTAAATTGGATGAAGAACTTGAAATTACTCCAATTTGTAGTTATTTGAAATTCATCCCAATCAGGGTCGTAGCCAGGGTGATTTGTTTGGGCATGCGTGAGTTCGAGAAAAATAAATTGAGAGGGCGAATATACTATAATCTAAAAATACATAAATAAAAATCAATAAAAAATAGGCAATTTTCTTTTTTTTTTTTTTCAGGGGCGGCTGCCCCCCAAGACATTGTTTGGGTACGCCCATGATCCCAATTGCTCAAAAAATAACTAAAAAAGACGGGTATGAATTTGAAATTCTTAGGCAAATCCCTCAATCCTAACCAGGGATTTGTTGTTATGGATTTAAAATCCCTACATCCAAATACACCCTTAAAATTTCAATTTCGTATGTTGAAAGGGTAAGGAATAATTTTGTCGAAAATGGACTTATCACTTACGGAACTCATGGATATAAATTTATAAAGTAATGAACTTTTAAGGAAACTAGACAGGTGCACGAGCGTTGCACGTGTTTTATTAGTATTTCTATTTATTTCTTAATTGTGTATTATACTTGCCCAATTTAACAAAATAATAATGTCAATAATCCGTTTTGACGGGCAATGTCTTTGAAGTTTGAAATGGTTAGTTTTATTGATAAGTGTTTTAATTACATTAGTTTTTTATTTCAAAAAATATTGTTAATATTGCATTTTTTAACATATGAGAAATCTGATTTTGTTTTTAAATTTCCACAACATCTCTGTTCACCGTCCCCATGAAAAACTTAACCATATGTCTTCTAAATTTCATACATGAAGTACTAGTGAAACAATGAATAAAAAAGAATAACAATACAATATGTGCAAAAAAGGCAAATAATATCATTATATAACCAGATTAACTACCTAAATATTACAAAATTTATCACATCATATTGATATTTTATAATTAATTAACAAATATGTTCAATTAAAAACTCAAATATTAATAAAGCTAAGCAAGAATTTAAAAGATAATCAAGTAAACATCAAAGTAACAACAGATTATGACTCAATTTCCTTTTTGATTTTGACAGAAAGCAACGGTTACCTTTGTTTTCATTTTTCCAATCGTGAAGTGTTTCTTCATCATCAGAACTCGTGACGATATTTACTTAAGTTTGTTTCACAACTTATCTCCATTCCGGTCCGGACCACTTTTAGTTGTAGTATCCAATTTTTTTTTGATTGGCTTGTAATTCTTTAAGGGGCAAAATTGAATTATTGACCATGTTTTGCTGGTTTCATGTTCGGTAAGAACTGAATTTAGTAACAATGGAAATTCAGATACGAAGAATATGCTTACCAGTCGTATATTTAAAATTCTCAAGTGTCGATTGGATATGTATCTTTGATGAAGAGGATGTTGTCCAAACTCAAAAGTGGTAAATATAGCATATCAACTATTTATATGAATTATGATTGAATGAATTTTTGTATGTGATTTTTTTTATTACTTTCTCTTAAAAATCTATTTATATAAAAAAAGTAAAGTAATAAAAAAAATAATTAAATAATGACCTATAATTGGATCAGAATATGCATTTCTGTAAATGAGAAAAAAAAATAGAAAATGTTATACAGTAATTAATTGTATGTATGTCATAGCAAATGTGGGAAAAAAAATATATAATTAAATGGGACCTTTAATTGTATCAGAATATCACTGTTGTGAAGAATAATATTAATTGAGAAAATATTAAATCGATTAAATTTATATACATCATGGAATTTACTAAACTATTATTTAGTTTCAGTTACAAATACAAATTAAATAAGCAAATACCCCTGAAGTGTCATTTGAATATTAGCTATGTAAGAGGGTAATTTTGGAATATGAATTAGTGAATTACTATATTAGGGGAAACATTTCTGCAACACTAATTTCATAATTAGATATAATAAATTTTAATAAACACCCGTTTGACGAAACTTATTATAAACAACTAATAAACTTGTACATCTGATAAGTTATTTTAAAAGTTGATAAGTTCTTGCGTTTTATTTTTAGAATTAATTGTTCAAGTGCTTGAATTATGAAATTATAGTTATTTTTACTCATTATAATATCTTAAATAAAACAGTGAGGTAGATGTACTTTAAAAAAAAAAATATTATTTGTTCTTTAACAACTTAATTTTTTTGAATATTTAAGATTTAAAAAAAAAATACCTAACACTTTGAAAGAACTTATAAACTTTCAAACATCGTATAAGCTCTTTTTAACAGCTTATAAACTCTAAACAAGAAAATAAAATAAAATTAAGAAAAAGGGAAAAAAAGTCTAGTACTACTTAAGAACGTTCTTACACATGCTCTTGCCATGGTTAATATATATATATATATATATATATATATATATATATATATATATATAAGGATTTCATACACATGAGATCTCGATTCTCTTTTTACAGCAAAAAGTAATGTCTCAACATGCACTTATAAACATTTATTATTGCTAGCTATATTATATCCAAGTTGCCTTACATAATTAATTATGTATATTATAATCTTGTATTCAATCCATTTCTGTAATAATACCTACTCGATCCGATGTTTTTTACAAGATGAGCCTGCAGAATCGAATAATTAATAATTATTCACAGGCTAAGAATGAAATCCAAAAAATCATTTATAAATATTTCTATATAGTTTTAGCTGCAATAGGTAAATCTCCAGGAAAAATATATTTTTCGCTCCTTAAGTTTACTTCGATTTCGTTCTTGGTCCTCTTTATTAACAAGAAGATTCAGTTCCTTATGTTTCAAAATCTCAACAGTTTTAGTTCTTCCATCAGTTTTTTGTTAGTACTAACGGTATCAAGTGTGTGCCCTATCACTGCCTTACCTTAACTGACAGACTAACGGTAAATTGGCGAAAATAACTAGAAGTGTTAAATTATTGAAACATGAGAGACTAAATGCGTTTTCATGAACGTAATGGATCAAATATAAAATTTATACAAACTTGTGGGGTGAAAATTGTAAATTTCTCATAAACCTCCACTCGCTGCATTAGCTTGCAAACCATGCACATCAGGCATAAATTATAAACTACCCTTGTGCGAGAAACTCGACTTGGAAAATGTTGGCAAGAAGATTCGAACTCAGGTCATTTGACGAGTAATCAGTCTCCTACGCGGGATTTAAGAAAATGGAACACTTGTAAGTTATAACAGTCATAGGATTTGATCCAACGGCCATGATGAATGGTTGAAGATGAGATGAAGAAGAGAGTAGGAATATATGTTGTCTGAAATCTGAAAAAATAATGAGACTATTATATATATATATATATATATATATAAAATAAGGGTATGTATATGTATTGCAGGCCACAAGGGCACGTGGTTTCTGATTCCCACTGATGATGACTTAATAAACTATACTGACTTCTTTCCTGTATTAATACCGTTGGGACTCAACCTCCCCACCCCCCTACCCACCCCCCTACCCCCCCTACCAGCTGTCTATAGCTGTCCTAATCTTCACCCATGTGACCCCACCATCTTTAGACAGACAGAAAAAGAGATAATTTTTTTATTTATTTTCTTGAAGATAATGAAAATATTGGGTCAGTAATTCTGAATGTGACTATGATATATATATGTTCTTGTGGCTGCCTGCCTATCTTCTGTTTTATTGCATGTGGGTTTTCACAATATATAGATACATATACATATATATAAGGCCCTTTTGGAAACATATATAGTGTAGTTTGGTTTCATTTTTCTTTCAGTTACATTTTATAGTTACAAATTAGTTAGTAATTAAGTATATATATATATTAATAATTTGTAATTAATAATAATAATGGCTCATTTACCACCAAAAGTGCCAAGCAGCATGACTCCCCAAAACAACTGGCCGGATTTTTGCCACCAAAAATTGGAGAATTTGGCAATCAATAATCAAACCGTCGTCGGCCCGTCGTGGGTCGACGATTTTCTCGACTTCTCGTCGGCCAAGCGGTCCCACAGGAGGTCGATGAGCGACTCCATCGCCTTCCTGGAGGCCCCCATGGCCGAGGAGTGCCGCCGATCCTCCTCCTCCTCCTCCTTCATGATGCCACCTGGCGGCGGCGGCGGTTGTGGCGGAGATGCAAATAATAATAATAACGGAGGCAACTTCGATAGGTTTGACGACGAACAGCTAATGTCGATGTTTGCGGATGACGAGGTTGGACCCAATATTAATGTACTGTCGTGCTCGAACCCTTCCTCGCCGTCGGATCACAACAGCATCAACGACGAGCATGATCAGAAGCATGCCACGTCGTCGTCGTCGTCGCTTCACCCGCCTAAGTGCGAGCCCGCAGATCACGATGCCGCTCGCTCCGAGATAGGGTTCTATAAACATGACATCAACTCCGATTGTTTCTCCAAAGAAAAGATCGTTGTCCCTAAAAGGATCAAGAGGTATATATATATATATATATATATATATATATATATATATATATATATATATATATATATATATATATATATATATATATAGTTAAACTTCTATAAATTAATACAGTCAGAATTCTATTGATTTAGCGAAATATTAAATTATCGAACTAATAATTTAGTAGGTTTTTTTACCGAGTCGGGACCAGAAAAAAAAAATTTATTTAATCGAGGTTATTAATTTATCGATGTTCTACTGCAGAATTTTGGCGAACAGGCAATCTGCGCAAAGGTCGAGAGTGAGGAAACTGCAGTACATATCTGAGTTAGAACGAAGTGTTTCTTCACTTCAAGTATGTTAACTAATTATATTAATTCCATGCAATATTTTACATTTTGTACAGTTCAATTAATTTTTTTTTTATAATTAAATTAAATTAAATTAAATAATTATGGTGAAGGGTGAAGTATCAGTGTTATCGCCAAGGGTAGCTTTTCTGGACCACCAGCGTTTGGTACTAAATGTAGATAACAGTGTTCTCAAGCAAAGAATTGCAGCTTTGGCTCAGGATAAACTTTTCAAAGACGGTACCACATTTTATTTATACATTTTTTTTTTACATATCATTTATATTTAATTATCGTGCTCGTAATTAATTTTAGGCCGAAATTTGTAGAATTTTATGTTATGTATTACTTAAGTTACTGACAAATTAAATAAATGTATTCACATCTTGTAAAAAAGATGAAGTTAGATTAGTGGTGTAATGTGTTTTTATTTCCTCCATTGCTCGTTACACGCAACTTATTCGTTAGTGAGTTCGTCGACAATACGTTATATTATATCTAGTCGTTTATTAATTAGTATCTGATGACCATATATGTATATATGTACGTGATTGTGTGTAAATTTACAGTAATATGCAACTTGGTGTATTTCATCGTGTGTTTGCGATAAATTGCGAACAGTATTTATTTAATTTTTCCATCAAGCATTAGATTAGCCAACATAAATATCCTTTACAGAAATAATGTCGTTTTTTTTTTTTTAATTTTATTTTAAAGAAGAAATAATGTGGTTTAATTGATCAATGTATAATGCAGCTCATCAAGAAGCATTGAAGAGGGAAATAGAGAGGCTGAGGCAAATATACTACCAACAAAACATGAAGAAGATGGAAAACGGTAACGGCTCAAAATCGCCACCACGTGTTTCCGATACTAACTGCTCTGCTGAGATGGAGCAACTCGCAGTCAATTGATCACGGCGACGTACAATTTTATAATTATTCTCAGGTTGGCAATATTTTTTTTTCTTTAATTTATATGTATTTTTGTAAATACGAGTCATTGTCATCCAGCCAAAAAATTTCATGGCTACAGAGTTACGAAAAAAAATCCTTATTTTATTAATGTTTTTAATTTTAATGTGGAGAGAACAATATGGTTGAAATTATTCTTCTTTTTTTTCCAACCTTTTTTTTTTTCGATTTATAGTTTTCGCACATTATTTAGTTTAAGAGCAAAATTAAACTAGTTCTTCATCATGTATTTATATAGTGAAGTGTCGGAAATCGGAGGGGGTCATGACCCCCCCCCCCCCCCAACATTTCTCAAATTTATATTATTTTATATAAAACCTTAAAAATAATTGTGTATATTAGCAGTAACGCCCCCGTTATAAAAAAAAATAATGTATTCGCCCCGTAAACTTAAAATCCTGGCTGATTTGCTAGTTTTCAAGACTAAGAGAAAAACAAAATATTGTTGCTAAAAGATTATAATTTTTCTTTTGTGCAGGAATCTTGCGAATTCATTTGCTGTGGATCAGATTGTAGGGCCATTGCCTTTCTTTTTATGGGCACAATTTTTTTTTTATAATTTTTTTTAATTATTAATTAATTTAGGGTTCTGTGTAATTGAGTGTGGTTATATTATTTAATTTTCTTGTCGCTCCCAATCATATATGATCACATGTATTAATTATTCAAAAATTAAACTTGGTTTTCTACTCGAAAATCATTTTAAGCTGGCACTTTTTCTGAGTGTATTTAATTCATGTATGTGCATTGTTAATTAGTTATTTGTTCATTTCAAGAAAACAGCAGAAGTAGTAGAGATGTTCTGTACATGTAAATAAATATATGAATCTAATTTGACTGTAGTAATATTCCTTAGATTCAGACCAGTACTTGTGCTCATATTAATTACTTGAATAATTGAATTTATTGACTCTGCAATGATTTTATTATTTACATTTTTACCCTCTACTATTACATTAACATGCTACAGTATATTTCATTTCATTCCATTCTTTTACAAGCAGGGCAATACATATACACATGTGAGTTTACAACTATAAAAGGAAAATGGATCCTAAACAATTACTGTTTATACAATATTACATAATGAATAGAGTAATATTTGTTGTCTAAGACTTTGCTGCATAATTGTGTGTATCAATTATGCCTCGATAATAGCATTTCTTAATTCTGTTGATCTATCGTGCCTCTCAAGACCGACTGACCATTTTGGACACCAATTTTGGAGTGATGCTTACTATTGGAAATTTTGAGTATTTACTCAAAATTTGTGGAATAGTTAAGTGGTTTAATTTAGATTCTGGAAACTAGTTTTTGATGAATGAAAAAATAATGAGTCCATTTAGAATATGTTAGTGTGGAAAATAATAAAATGAAATGTCACCATGAAAAATATGAAGGTTTTAGGCACCTATTAAATGGAATATGTGTTTAGTTCATGAGACAACGTGTAATACCTTTACATGAAATTATTTTTTCTTAGAGGTGTGACCTTTGATAACAACATTTGAGAATCTATAAATAGATTCTAAAATCCATCATTTGAATCATTCGTCATTCTACATGGAATTCAATATATTAACTGAATTTATTTCTCATTAAAGCATTTCGTTGCATATTGTTGCAATTATCTAGTCTCATTTATTCGTATTTTATAAAGTCTTAAACGTCATTTTGTTCTCCGTATTTCAATAGTTGTTGCATTACTTTGTTGGAACTGAAATAGTCGTTGTATCTTGCAGACGATTGCCGTAAATCGAGAGCACTGCACGGGGCAAAATTGTCTTAAAGAGTTGCTTCGACTACATTTTTCAGGTCAAACTTCCGTCCAAGTTTTATTCGTTCTCGTTTCAAATTACACACACCCAAATAACACTTATAGTGTCACAATACATGACCAGAGGCACACATAGCTCTTGAACAAGATACATGACCCAATCGACTTCAGCTACAGTGGAGGCGATTGCACGATATCAGATCATTAGGGTCTCCAGCCTAGTTTGCATCTGCAAAGGCATGGAGAGTTTGAGGAGAATTTTCACGTACCTTTTGGTAGCACACCAGTGGATTATTGAAGGACAATGCATAAATTGAGAAATCTTGTTGATGGTGAACAAGAAATCAGGACGAGTTAAAGAAAGATATTGCAATGTTCCTAGAGCTTGGAGATATAATGTGGCATCAGCCGGCGAAGAACCATCGAAGAGTTTAAGAACTTCATTGGTAGCAAGAGGTGTAGACACTGACTTAGCATCAGCCATATAAAAACGATTCAAGAGGTCTTGTACATATTTCCTTTGAGATAAAAGGAGAGGTGTTCCTATATGATGAGCTTCAATCCCAAGAAAATAAGAGATCCTGCCAAGATCCTTAAGAAAAAAATGTTGTGCAAGTATAGAGATGCATGCATTCATACGAGCACTTGATGATCCAGTAATTATAATATCATCAATATATACCAATAAATAGAGAGAGGTAGAAGAGTGAAGCATAAATAAGAATTTTTTTAGAGTGAGAATTTGTAAAGCCTTTGGAGATAAGAAACTAACGAAGTTCATGATACCAAGCACGAGGAGCTTGTCGAAGTCCATACATGGCTTTTCGTAATTTACAAACAATATTAGGTAGATCGGGTTTGATAAATCCAGGGGATGCTCCATGAATACTTCTTCCTTTAGAGATCCCCGCAAGTACACGTTATTCACATCAGTTGACGAAGTTGTCAATTGTTATTCACAATAACTGAAAGGAGTATCCAAATTGTTGTTGGTTTAATAACAGGGCTATAAGTTCCAGCGAAATCAATTCTTAGGCGTTGATGAAACCCTTTTGCTACTAAACGAGCTATCTACCCATCATAATTCCTCTTAATTCTATAGAACCACTATACCCAATAACGTTTTGTGTTAGAGAATGGGGAATCAAATTCCATGTATTATTAGAAATTATGGCATTATTATATTCATCAGTCATAGCTAGGCGACGAAGTGGTGGGGGAGACAGGAATTTGAGATATGTATGAGTGATTATTTAAATTAGAAGAACGATCATGGGTGAAATTTGGTTTAAGTAACCATGCATTGCTGAGAGATGGTTTAGCGGGAGACGTAGGATTATTAAAGGGAAAACATTCCACGAATACTAAATGTCGGGAGATAAAACTAGATGCTATACTTGAAGAGTCATTGGCGGTTTGGTCTAAAACTCGTGGCATTTTGCAGCTATGGCCTCTCTCTCTCCATCTCTCGATCTTTTAGTGTTTGTTGATTTTTGAGTGTTTTAATATAATGTTTCTTCATTTTTTGTTGATTTGCACTAATTTCTTTTTATTGTTTTGATTTTGCAATTGCAGCTTAATGAAAGCCATTGATCCTCTCGTTGAAGGTGTCAATTTTTTTTTGTTGAAGTTACATATGCATAATATCACAATGTTATGCAGTCTGTATACATTACCGCCTCCTCCCAATTTTAATTAAAAAAAAAAAAAAGCAAATTTGCAAGAACTCAGACTAAAAAAAAAAAAACTACAATAGCCTCCAACAATCTGCCTAATGCAAACAACAAACCTAAAATATAACGTGCATTATTTAATTACAAACAACAATCTCTGTATAGGATATGCATCAACTAATTGCAAACAACAAATTGAAAAATAGGATGTGCATCATTAATATTTAATTGCAAACAACAAACTATATATATTTAAGTGCAAACAACACATTGAGAATATGATATGTATTATCTAATTGCAAACAACAAATTGAAAAATAAAATATGCATCATCTATATGCAAATAATTACAATAAAAACATACTGTTACAAATTGCAATTTACAATTTTCTATTTCATATTGCTAATTTATTTTGCGTTTTAATTTATTTTTGTTCTTTTTCGATTGAAAATATATTGACAAATGCAAACAAAAAGTGCAAAATTACTTACAATAAAAATTAGGGATTATTTTTGGACCCCTCATATAGAAATTATATATATAACTAACCACCAATGGGATTACACACTGGTGCAAACTCCCTCTATTTTGAAATTAATTTGACAGACCCCCCTCGCCCACCCTGAAGTACCTAAAACGCCCTTTTAAAATCAGTTTTAAACTCTAGCCAACTCACAACCGTCTTTCTCTTCCTCTGTCACTATTCAAATCCCGCCCCCATAGATCTCCAACCCACAATGTTGTTTCCCGGAGTCATAACTCTCTCTCTCCAGTGGTCGGAATTCGATAGTTTAACTACCATTGGATTCCTCTCGTCGGGATCTTTCTTTTGGTTGTGATTTCACTAATTTTGGAGCACTTGATATGTTTCTACAATCGTTTTACAGTCGGAGCGTATTTCGACGACAGTGGGTTTTCTTGGAGGAGTAATTTGTGTTTCGACAGTCGGATTTGACGGGCTATCCACCATTGGATTCCTCTCGCCGAGATCTATTTTTTATTATAATTTTGTTCAATTTTTTATCGTCATATTTTATTCAATAATTTTTTTCATTGCGAGTGCAGAACCTTGGATGGTTGACGGCGGATAGACTTTTGGTAGGAAGCACTTGAGGTGAACAGTCATTGGCGGTTTGGTCTAAAATTTGTAGTATTTCGCAGCTATGCTCTCTCTCTCTCTCTCTCTCTCTCTCTCTCTCTCTCTCTCTCTCTCTCTCTCTCTCTCTCTCTCTCTCTCTCTCTCTCTCTCTCTCTCTCTCTCTCTCTGTATTTGTTGGTTATGAGGTGATTTATAATATAAATATTGAAATTGTAAATTTTTGTTGTTGGGGTTTATGAATTTCTTTTGCATAAACCAATATTCTTTTAAATAGATTCAGAGTCAGTCACTTGCATAGCAATTAAAGTCTGCCCTCGCGTGGATTCAAAAAAGGAGGAGGCCAATAAAAAAATAAGTTTTAATTAATCAAAGGTCCAACTGATCACCACGTCTGTATTGTAAATACGCAGTTACGAATAATCCAGCCAAAGTAATAGGAATTAGACCTAACATGATTCCAAAAAGAAAAACATAATTGGCCGACTAAAAGTTTGGGGTAAAAAGAAAGAACATAACTCCGAATGACAATAGTTGACTACAGTTACATGTAGTTATTTTCAGCACAGTAAACACATCAATTAAAAAAAATAATAGAAAAATATATAAATAAAAAATAATAAATTAAACAAACAGGTTTTAAAAAAAATTAAATTATAAATATAAATAAATAAATAAATCAGTGAAAATGATAAATGCAGTTTGACCGAAAATTGCATATAAGAGGATTATAGTACTTTCGCCTCTTCACGAGTACGCCTAAGGATGATTTCCCCTTGTGCTTATCCTAGTTTATTAGGCACATAGGGGTATATAAAATATGTCTCTTTAAAATATCACTTTCGACATTACTGCTCATTCCAACATACTTTTTAGTATTTAATAATTATATTTTATCATTATTATTACACTTAATATATTTATTTGACTACATTATAAATATTATTTACAATTAATTCCAATTTATGTTATATAACTAGTTGTGTCATTCCAAAATAACACAATTAACTTATG